AAGGGGCTAGGGATACCAGCAAGCTTGCAGGGATGTGTGAGGTCAGCAATGATATTTATGAAATAACTGTTGCTGACAAGGTGTTATAGAACTGCCCTGTGTTTCATATCTGTAACAAATTGATAGCTAATTGGGATGTCATAGCTGTAGGCATACAACAGAGTACTTCCCCCTGGAATTCAGTAGCACAATGACAGTTGGATTATCTTGCTACAGGACAAGAAATGCCACTTCCTGAGTAAAGAAAATCCAATTTTGAAGCTATCAGTTTACGGTCTTTGGCATTCAGGAGAACAGCACTGATTCCAGTTTGGACACATACACACACATATAACACAGCCAAGATTCTTATARTTTTGAATGCCATTTAGCTATATAGAATGGTTTCTTTTGTAGCTATTGGACACTGAGTCCGACATTAGACACAAAATGCTCACATGGTGCAAAGGGATGCAGTCCTCTGCAGACTCTGCAGTCCCCTGAACATGTAACATACACTGATGCTACATTCATTAGGTCCAACTGACTTAGTCTGCTACTTAATGGGATAATGACAGGTCCTGGAAACCAGCAGCTGCAAGGCAGGTCAATACTTACTGTAGATTTATGGTACCACTCTGTATCTCTGTCTAGAGGCACAATAAATCCAAATTCCTTTTCTGCTTCATAGATATTTGTGGGAATAGAACCAAAGTCTTCTGCACTGAAAGGAAAACAAAATGGAAAGCACTCATGCACTTTGTCTGTGATAGGATGGATGAAGGAAAGGTGGTGGTTAAGGAAAGTACATAAACAGCCCTGCTTATAAGGCATGTCCATATACATCTGTGAACATCAGTGGCAACCACAAACTTGCTCAGTGGTGGCAGTTTTCTATGTTTTCACCTTCTACAGAGCTGTTGAGCACATAAGCTATTTMCTTGGGTGCTGCATATTAAGGCTCTTAGATTAGAATGAGCTATCAGAATTTTAAAACTTTTCATTTTTACATTTCTTGATTCTATCAGTGACTCRGTGACTATAGTCAAGCTGCTGTAAATAATATATATTTATTTCATTTCAGTGTTATGGTACTGTATAACGAACAWCTCCCTTATGCAAAGGGTGGCTATCATTTCATGTATTTACAGAATCAAGCTGACAAGTTAGACTGTGGCTTTCCAACACTGAAAGGAAGACATCCATATATGCTCCATGTAGGTGAGTAGCAAATAAGGGATGATTTGAAAGCCTTTCTTAGTCACAGAGATTACTTCATTTTCAACCATTGTTGGGGTCTAATGGAACATGATTACCGCTTTTATTAGACTTGTGACATTTTGTGATATGACACAAGCTGAAGTTTCTGTGTATCTTGTGGAGGATTTCCTCCAAATGCATACTTTTTAAGAACATAGTTATTACTGACATAGTGAAGTGACACACTTGGGTTTTCACACATTGATAAAATCCTCCTATACCATCAAACAAGCTCTTTTATTAGTTATGTAATTCATTGAAAAAATCCAAAATATTTAAATTTTTTTTTTTTTCCCCTCCCATGAACTAAGACAAATTTAGAGATGAAACCAAATGTGCTTGGTTTACCATGCTTCCATTTTGGACCATCTGTGCAAGTTGATTCACCACACATGAGTTTTATTTTTGAAAAGGCAGTATTTCTGTGGTAAGATTAATGGGTGCAATTACATTGTACCCGTCACCTTCCCCTACCTCTCTTAAGGTCTTTGCAACTGTTTCCTAACATGAGTATTCAAGAGGAAAAGAGGAACTGCTGGGCTGCCTTCACACTCCAAAAACGTGACTACACCCACGTCTGAATACATTTTATTTAGTGGAATAACTGCCATATTCATATTTCTCCTTCCTCACATCATTTCTACCATTCAATATAATCAATATAGTGATTTCATGCACATTGTTGCAGAGGCTTTAACCTCACAAATGAGCTGTAGTAGTTTTTGGTCACTAAAAGAACAACCATCTGTGCTATGAATGTGTCAGAACTCAAGGCTTCTAATAGAAGACACATACTTTTCGCTATTGTTTATGCATAGATTTCTCCTAAGTCAATGCATGTTCTCTGATCACTCAAACTATCCTGATCTCCAGTACCTGTTCTATTTCAAGGTTCTGGGTTTCAAAAAGATTATTTGAGTCCTAACTCCCGGTCTTCTGTTTTTTTTCCCATCTCCCTTAGGAAAGAAACACCTCTCCTGAGTCATATTTTAAAAATACCGTTAAGCTCTTAAAGCCACTTCTGCTCCTGTGTCACAAAGCATTATTGAAAAGGCATTCAATTTTACCACCTACTCAAGCTGAGAACTTCAAGACTTCCTTTCCACTCTCATTTTTAAACTATACTGGYAGCGTTCTTCTAAGAAGTTTGCTTCTATGATCTTCTTGCCATGAGCAGGTTGGGCTTCTAAGAGAAATGTGCTAYCAAGATTACAATCTAATATTAATGAGATTATTGAACATTATTATTATTAATATTAGTTGTGATTACTATAMCTTGATTAATAATTTGCTTTTGCAACTTCTTCTAATCAAGGATCTCAAAGATTTCATAAATCTTAATGAAAATTATATTACACAATATCCCTGAGAGACTAGTATGTCTTATCATTCCCATTTCACACAAATGGGAACTGAAGTTCAAAGTCACAGTCACACAATCTACGGCAGAACTAGAAATAGAAATAGTCTCCTGGCTCCCAGTCCTRTTCCTTCACCAGTCACCCTAAATAGTTTCTAGTTTAGTTTTGTAAGGCATTTTTCACAGAATTTTCAAAAAATCCTTGTCCTCTTAGGTAAGGAAAAATAGAATAAATAAAAAAGATGATAACAAAAATGAGACTGCCTGTCTTGTGAATGAGGTTCATTGTAAGATTCTAGCTGTTTTATGAGCAATGCCAGCCAAGTTTCATGAGTTAATCCCGAACCTATGTGCACCTAAAATAGATATCTTTGCCTCCAGCTAAACAGGCCTGCTAAGATTGCCTAAATAATTTATGTATAACCAACTAGTGGAAATTAGATCTTCTGTGATTTCCCTAGATACATATTCTGCATGTATCATGTATATCCTTGCCTATTTCTGATATTCATCTGAAATTCAGTTGGGACTTTTCAGAACACTTCAGTACTCCAGCTGCATAGCTCTGAGAAAAAGCTAACTGGAAAAATAATGTGTCTTTGAATGGGGGCGAGATAATGTTTTAAATCTAAGTGCATAGCAGATGAAGATGCTGCATGATTTATAACTGCAGTTTTTGTTAATAAATTCTGGCTTAGAACTAACAAACCAGTTTGGTTTCTAAGTCTATCCCTGGCCCATGTGGACAAGCATGTTGTCTCTCTGCGCCCTACTTGTAAAACAAAAATAATGGCACTTAGCTACAACCTTCACAGATGGCATAGTGATATACAGACAAATACAGATAAATATGAGATACAAGAGGATGATTAATAAAATGAAAAATGAAGTAATCTAATTTTTTATAGTACAGAAAAAGTGAAAAATATATATACTCCCAAGTTACGCTCTTTGGATGTATCTGTGTTACATTGTCTTCAATGGAATAGTAAAATGCAGCTTAGATTAAAATTTGCTCCACTGTGAAGAAAACAGATTTTCATTTCCAGTCTCTACAAATAGAGAGCAAAAGCATTAGCAAGTGTGCTCCTACCTTGTTCTGACTGAAGAATCTGAAATGGACTGTAAAGTCTATCTGGAGTTCACAACATATAATTCTTCATTCTTTTCTGGAATTCATAACTGCAAAATATATTCTGACTCTTTTGGATATCAACAGGCAAAAGACATTTCTTACTATTGTCTGCTCCACGGTGCCAGGAATGCTTTGAACTATTTACTGTACTTGTTCAGACTAGCTGCAAAATTAGGGCCAGGCTGTAGCTTCAGTCAGCCATGAAGTCGGTGGAGGAGGAGCACCAGGAATAACTGAGGTGGGACAGCCAGAATGTCTGCAGCGGTTATTCAACAAATACAGCAAGCATTGGTGCCACCACACAGGGGTTCAGTTGGACTGGTTGGTGCTGCCTTCATCTGGGAAGTCTTATGGCAGGTTTAGCTAGAACTATTTGTATGTAGCTCTTCACACCTGTGCAAAATGAGTGCGAATCATTGTTACGATTCACATTTCACAAGGACCTCTACCTCCSCATGCTATTTTTATCAACCTAATAATGCCCATCTACACTCACATTTACCAATGTCAACAGGTTCTGCATATTTCTCTCTTCACTTTTTCATGTTCTGTCAGCTCTGAACGATTGAAATTCCTTCTGGCCTAAGCCTTAGGGCTGAATCTCGAGTTCATGTAGTATTCCCAAATGTGAGTGTGATGACTGCACATGAGAGAGCTTTCACACTTCAAATGTCACGGAGAAGACCAATAAGAAAGAAGGAAAATCCCACTGAGAATGAGAAATACATGAATTGTTTCTGGCCCATATTCATATAGCACCTGTTTATGACAGCTGTGGGAGGGGATGAGCACATGAGCTAATTCATATTTGCTATGCAGTGCTCCATGCTGCTGTGTGAAGCCGGAAGATCCTGACTGCTTTGACTGACCCTTAAAGACATGAAAGTAACTTTTTTCTTCAAAACATTCACACCAAGTGAATCATCATAATCACACTTGCTGCATACCTTGCTGCATACTTGCTGCGTTCCACGCTTGGAATTCTGTCAAAGCCTGTAGACACCCATCTGCCATAAGAAAACTTGGGAGTCAAGATCAGCGCTCAATACCATTATATACTGAGACAAATTTAGCGTTGTTCTACATGGACTACCTCTTGGAGCCCTGAGATCTGCCCGTTTCAGAGCCAAATTGTGCTGAATATAATCTGCTGGAGCCACTAACTTCCCATGTTGCTTCTGGGTTTCTTCTTTCTGTGCAGACATCCTGGCTGATGGGATAAGGATCTGCCTCTTACTGCGTGGCTAGAGAGGTGTGCGACTCATCTCCACTGCTGCCAGGTGGCAAGTCACACTTTCTGATGGAATCACTTGTCTCCTGTACATTTACTGGAGACATTTACATTACAGTTTTGCTAGGAAAGCTGTGGCTCCTACCTGAAACCATGACTTTTTCCAGTTAATTCTGGATCCTGGATGACGCATATGAGATCGGGATTTGTTAGTATTTCTGAATATTTTCATTCCTTCTGAATCATCCAAGAAAAAAGACCTAAATATCATGGTAAACTGAGGTGGTACTAGTAGTTTACTTTTTTGGCTATTTTTACTCAAAGAAGAATCAATTCCTTTATAAAGATTAAGAAAGAAAATCACTTAAATTCATTCTCACTGCAGTTTCATGACATTTTCCCCTTCCTGATGATGATGAAATGAGAAGTAGATACTGAGATTTTTTTTAAATAAAGACAATATAAAAATCTCAGGCTATAAATTCCCTCTACCAGTAAAAATATGCTTTGATGGGTTAGCTTTGTGCCAGCAGGCAGTCTTTATGCTAGATTGTGTGTGGTCCACAGGAACCTTTTTTACTTCATGCTGCTATAATCTTTATGTGTCTGTCCTCTCACAGGCAGCATAAATGTCATGCAGTAGGTACTGTCCCATTTGTCAAATGCTACCGCATGTCCACCCTTGATCCAGATCAGATTAGCACAGATGAGAGATCCCAGTCTTCATACAAAGTGAGTATCATGGAGGATGTAAAAGAAAAACAGATACGAGAATGAGACTCAAGTGTTTGCTTTTGGAAGTAGCTGCATTAAAACTGATAAGATATGATTCTGCAAGGTCGTTTTATTATTTCAGCAATGTTTCAGAGAGGTCTAACATTTTTATTAGTAGTTGTTTATCCTCTGAGGTGTAAATCAGCTGTTTACACTATCACAAGTTAACCTACACAACTATCAAAGATACATTTTATAACTAATATACTTTCAGTAACTTATAGAAAAAGCTGAACTTTACATCGCATTGCCACAGTCTCAAGTCCCAAGAAGTAAATGATATCTATTTGGGAAGACAGGAATATTTCCTGAAGGCATAAAGTTTCCACTTCTAGCTCTAGGGTTTCCTGGCCTTCCACCTGCCATGGGGACACAGTAACTAACATTTGTTCTGGCTTGCAGGACAGTGCCATGTCAGAAAGAAATTCCACTTGTAATAGAGAAAGCAAACATTTTTTGAGGCATGTATTCAGTTACTTACATGACAGCTGTTTGAAGAAAGAAGCCAAATACGTAGATGAAAATGAATTTAAATGGACTTGAATTTTCAACAAACCATTCAGCTTTCATTTAGCTGGGTTGATCCAGAAACAGCAAATAATTAATTGAGGCCAAAATACATGTCATGTTGAGTTGCATGAGCTGGAAGGATTGGAAATAATGAAAAGCAAAACTGTTAATATTCCATTTAAGTAGCTGCTGCCTATCTGTCCAATGTGAAAGCCCAATCTGTTGTATTCAATCAGCTTTCAGCTGCTACTTGCCAGCAGCCTAATTCCCCTGTCTTGTCTCCGTGCTGTGCTTGTACATTCCACTACCTGCTAAGTTAAACCCTTGCTGTCCATGGGTCTGTACAGAGATTTCTAATGTTATTCCAACTATCCACATTGGTTCAGAATACAGCCTCAAACTTACATGTTATTTTGAGCATCCATACAAACACGACTCATTTTGATGGAGCATCACATGCGGGAAAGTCAGCAGCTATGCAGTGCAGCTTGCAACATTTTGACTGTGCTTATTCATACTATTCTCTATGCATTTATGCATTTTTACAAGTTGTTTATCTGCAGTATCTCCATCTTAGGTCCTCTTTTTTTAGGTGATCCAGCTGACAATGCAGAAGGTTGTTCACCCAAAACACGGTTAACCAGTATCACACATCATATGGTAGCGGATCTCACTTCTCCTAAAAAGTTTTTTGTTTTTGTGCTTGGGGATCAATACATTGATTGATCATATTTATATTTTTTATTGATATTTGAATCCTTTATTGATATTTATCCTTTATTGATATTGATATTTATCCTCCTTGCAAGAGGATTCAAATATCAATAATTCAAATCTCYATGTACTTACTGTGTGCTAGGTCCTGTGCAAATTGGGAATGAACTCTATAGGGAAGCYGCAGCTTAGGTTTGATAACTATGAAGATATATGGGTAAAACTAAAAACACACTGTGTTGAAAGGTGTTTGCAGGTTGAAAGGCATTATAAGCCTCAAACCTGCACCACCAGTTCTCCACTGAGAAATCTCTACTAAAAATGGCAAAGTTCATTGCACAGGCATTTGGAAGGAATTAAAGAGTAAGTCATTGACCTTTGCAGATTAAATACCGTATATTGTCATAAGGAAGTGATATTTGAGTATCGAACAGCAAATGTACACAATTATTGTTCATTAACCTCTCAACACTGGCAATCAGGGTTTCCTGATACTAACACCTTGATCATTCTTGGCATTTTGAATGTGTTGTCTCTGGGCACATTATTTCTTAAATGTGTCTGAGGATGACTAGTGGTCACTTAGTGGTCACTTAGGATGGTTAGTTTTTCTCTGGTATATATGCAAAAAAAGAAAACTTTAAGAATAAATATACAGGCTCTGTGCTCTGTTTCAGATTAACAGAAGTGTCAGTGCCTGGGACTTAAGTGTATGTACGAGATATAGCGAAAATTATTTCTGAAGTGTTTTGAGATAATGAACAATAACAGAGTAACAAAGAGCAGCAGTGTTTCACTACCTTCTCAGATCATCTAAATTACAGAAACAGAACTTGAATGCCAATGAATCTTAAAACACATGTATAATTCAGAATTTGAATGCCATAAAAGTTAAAAATATTCTGTTCGCTTTCACAATAATTTATTAACTGGAAAAAAATTTCAAGCATTTACATGGAAAGTTTATAGGAAACTTTTTTTTTCTTTTGCTTTATTCTGAGGAACTAAATAATCTATTCARGTGCAAATACATATGTTGTTATTATCTGACTTAGAAGAAGAAGAATTAGTGTGTCTCTTTCTACACTCTTCTTTCCACACAAAATCTACCTCTTTTATTTAGAAATTTGTGGTGCAACATTGCATTTTTGTAGAAATTAAATTAAAATTAGTGAAATAGAGAAAACGCAATCTGTTCATCAGTCTTAACACATGACCTCCTAATTTTGTGGCAGAAGAAAGCAAAAAAAAAAAAAAAAAAAGAAAAAGAAAAAAGAAAAAAGAGTAATCCAGACCCCTTGGACAAGAGAATCTAGCAATCTCTTTACCTCTGAACATTGAGATAATTTACCGAGGGGCTTAGAAAAACATTTAAGTAAAGCTGAAATTTGGAGAGTCAGAATACATCTAGTCTCCATTTATAGTTTGTTAGTTCCTGCCTTTGTATTATTAAGAAATTAATAAATCTAGCAATTGGCCTCTGAATATGTCAGCTCTAACACAGAAACAGAAAATTGTATTTATGAGGCAAAAATATATCAGAGATTAATGCAGTTCTATATATAACATATACATTTTACATATACAAAATCTCTGCCAAAATATGAATAATTTAGAAAATCAAGCACAGTGAAGTTAGAAAATGCCAGAATAAAGGTTGCTTTTCCAAGCATATGCCCTACAGTAATCTTTAATTACATCATTTCTAGCTTCCTTTTCTAACTGTGAATTTTCTAACTTCAGCAAGTATTTGATTTTGCAATCATAATCCTTTCTTTTCTGAGAAAAGCCCTTGGAGATACATTTCTGCAGGTTTGGCAAATAGTGTTTGCAATTGATTATACTCCATCCTACTGACATCCTCATGGCCCAGGAGCAGATTGGGACATTTACCTGTTACCCTACAAGTAGATTCCTTGGCGGCTGTAACTGGGGTGTTAATGTGATGGAGGAGCTTGTGCAGGGATGCCACGTGTCTTCTGCCGTGCCTGTCACACAGGAGGGCTGTAAGTGAAAGGAGAACCTGATGTGAGTATTAAATAAGTTACTTATTGTGCTCTCTCATCCTCTTCTGTTCCTTGATAGCATGTATTGTGCAACCATTAACAACCTCACTTAGACAGCAGTCACGTAAACTCCATCACCCTGATTCTCTACTACCTTGCACTATATGCACGGTCATTTCTACTCATACAAAATGAATTTTAAAAGTCGTTTTCTGATTTGCTAGTATATTTAAGCTGCTTTATACTCAATTTATGTATTTCCAAATGGTAGCGCATAGTGCTACAGCATGTAAAGCCAGGGTTGCAGGCTGAGAARTGTTACACTTTAAACTCATTTTTCACCGTGGAGCTAAGAGCAATCACAGTGGCAGCACAGAGGTTGGATCCAGTTTGCTGAATCATTGCTTCTTGCCTGCTTCTTTCTGTTGTGGATTGAAGAGTTTTGATCCATAGTGGCAAAAGCCCATAAATACTGTCCATTTCCAAAAATCTTATTTGCACACTTTAAGTATTTGGTCTTTTCCATTGAAAAATTAGATGTTATTATTTCAGATTCCTCTCTGTGGTTAACAGATATGCTCTAAAAAGTATTTACCCCTGATGCACTGAGAAAGTTGTGCAATCATGATTTCTAAATTATGACGAAAAGGAGCTTTGAGGACTTATGAAACTGATTTTACTAAGGCAGCAAAACTAAGGAAAAACTGAGGAAAGATTTACCTGTGGAGATTCAGAAAGGGKAGGAAAGGGTTAAATACTTATAGTATGTTACTTTTTAGCTGATTAATTTAAGCCAGGACTATGCACCCAGTATTGCARCTGCAAACTGAAAGCTCTTTGTAAGACCTGGAAAGAGCAACAGGCTGCCTTCCATAAATAATACTGGAAGTTAAACAGTGATTTCACAAGGTCCAGAACATAGTGTAAATAACAAAGCAGAGAAATCCAGGAAATCCTTAGTTAACAAATCATTTGTTTTAAAAATTACATGCTTTTCTCGATCCCTGAAAATCATCTTCACAGTAAATGGAGGAAACTTCACTAAATGGAGGAAAGCAGAAATATTTTCCTCTGACTTGAGCAAGATATTTCGATTTACTGAAAGCATAGTTTGTTCCCAGTCTTTTCAGGGTTAATCCAAAAGTTCACAGACCTGGCGAAAGCTAAGAAACCAGTGATATGGTCTATTAAGAAGAGACCCAGCTTGTGTCAAAAACTCAGGAACTGCCACGTGCTGATACCAAACATTACAACATTTGGCAACTGCAGGGGATTCTATTAGTCCAATACTTAGAGCTGAACAATCCCAAAGGATAGTCTAGGCATGTTGGGCCAAATTCATCTGGAATCAATTTTACTGTATTTTGACCCAGAAAATAATTGTGTCCTTTTTGCTGTGATCAGAATACAGTGCTCAGGATTAACTAGATGAGGTGTTAAAAAGTTATTACTGCTCTTTGAAATAAATAATTTTGAAAGTCGTTCAGTTATTCTCAAGTATATACAGGTACTATTTTAGATAATTGATTGTGCTATTTTCATTTGGGCTTCTGGAACAGATTGGGTTTTTCAGGGGAAAAATGGAAGGAAATGGGAGCAACTTAAAGTTCTTGTCCTTGTGGAATATTTTTATATCTGCTGGATTCATGCCCCAGTTACCCTTAGTCCACCCCTTTCTAGACTAAGGTCCTGTTTAGGTCGTCAGTGTTCCCATTCTGTCCAAAGCATCATTTCTGTCTGGTATTTATTGCATAGTCCAGTGGACTGAATGACCTGTGAGCAGGCAAAATGCCAGAGGAAAACATGCTAAGGCTGGAGGCAGCCAGAAAAACTACTGGATAGTCATTGAGAAGCTATGAGAGGTTTTGTCCTGTTTTCCTCTGTTTATGGTTTCTCATATCTATCTGTTTTTTTGAGAACTACAAACTCCAGTCATGAAAAGAGACATTTATATAATGTTTTGTACGTGTTTCTATATTCTATTTAGCCCACTCAATAGTGTATTTTTTTTATTTCTCTCTCTCTCTCATTCTTTCCACAAGAAAAATATGTTGGAAGTAGAGTACTTATCCTGTAATATTTTGGTTTATTATTTTAATGCAAATGCATTAGATGCCAGTAACTGGATCTTGCTTTGGAATGAACGTTAAGGAGGCTGAGGGCAACCATCAGTTCCTGAAAATTCAGGAAACCTGGTTCCTGTTCAGAGGTGATGGGAAGAGTGTGGCAGTGAGCAACCCTTCTGTATCCAAGCAAAGGCTTCTCCTCATTCTGCCTCCGAGCTGCAGAGAGCAATTCCAGCAGCCATTCCAGTAACTTCTGTGTCGCGGGAGGCTCCGAGTTGCTGTAGCAACCTTTGCTTGATAGGAATTTGGCTGGTGAAGCCCCACGGTTGTGGAATCTGCTCCCGCTCTTGAGTAACCTCTCACATCACCCGTCTCAACTGGCAGCGAGGAAGCCCAGCTGTGAACCCGGTCACGGACCCCTTTGCACAGGTTCCTCGCTGAACCTCCTGCTGATTATTGGGATCAGATGCTCTTTGGCAGTTTTCCACGGAGACCGAACTTTGCCATGTGTCTAGAGTTCCATACAGCTCAACTCAAATGGTAAAATGGTGGTAGTAAATTTTGTGCATACAAACAAGCCCTTCTTTGTGAACTTACTGATAAAAAACTGAATATACGAAAGCAGAGAGTGCAGTTTTAGAGACCAGTGTGGGAAGTTTGACTGTGAGGCAGCAGTAGTTCTGGTAACAGAAAGAAAGTATTATAAAGTCACAGAGGGGGGCAGGCAGATGGGAACAGACTTGAGTAGGAAGGAACACTGACAAGGTCCCCAGAGCCTCTAACTTGCATTTAGATAAAAAATGAAGTGTGAAGCTGGTCGGAGCGTGAGGGGAGGCATCATTGCTAAACCAGTTCCTTCAAAAGTGTGAAGTAGTTTCTGGAGTAATTGAAGACAGTTTTTTGGCCTTCCAAGCTGCTATACAGTTAAGAACAATATTTGGAAGATTTTATTTATAAATAATATTACCCAATGGCTACAGAGGGAAGAAAATAATTTTGGACTCTTGGCCTTTATTTTGAATTCTACAGGTGATTCTTTTTGACAAACCACAGGACCCTACAGGTGGGAGGTTTTGACATAGTTCATAGTTCAACAGACAACTTGAGCAGYCCCAAATCTGGTGGTTCAGCCAGAAGAAGCAGTCCCGCTCCCACCCTAGGGCTCACTGCTGCTGTCCAGTCCTGGACCCAAGCTCATTTAACTGCCACAGGCACCAGGACCAGGGAACTGCTCTTGCAGGAAAGTTATCCAGGAAAAAGAGTTTGGTTTTAACCAGCCACGTTCAGTGTTCAGGCACAGCTAGGTAACCATCAGCTAACGCTGGCTCCTGGTGCTACTTTCTGTTGTAACTCTGTWGGGGGAAAATGGTATATTTATTTTTCAGTGATTATTGCTCTGGAATTAGGGCACACAGGGTAGTTCCCTCTCTCATTTCCAGTTCCTTCTCCCAGATATGCTTCTGTAATTTATAAACTGTCTCCTTAGACTAAAATCCAAAATAATCCAGAGAGCAGGTACCAAAATCTGTGGTGATTTGATTTAATATGCTGAGCTAGAGGACTAGAGGAGTCAGCCCACAATCAGTTTTGCCAACTGTGTTGCAGAGAGGGACTTCTGGCAGGGATTCAGGCAGGGAACTGAACTTTAAAATCATCCAGCACGGATCACCAAAGCTACCCTCAGGCTCCGAGGCTCTTTCTATCCTAAAGACGTACCAACTTAATGAGAAGGGTTTTAAGTCTATCAGGTTAAACCAGGTCAAATCCTTACTGCAAGATTTAACTCTTGCAGCTATAGTTTACATTGCACAGGCAAGCCACTAAATGAAGCAGACTGTGAAAAACAGAGTTAAATTTTGATTTATCCATGTAATGATTTTCACTGGTTTAAACACAGGGTTAATTCCAGAAGAAAGTCTTCATCAGTCTTTTTTTTCTTTCTCTTTTTTTTTTTCTTTTTTAATCGTACACTGTACAATTGAAACACTCTTTATTCTGCAAGAAAAAAAAAAGAAAACCTCTTTACTGACARGTTCCTTAGCTGCAGACTGATGTTAGGCCACAGGCAGAAAGAGGGCCCATGTATGGTTATAGTCACTTGAGCGTGCCTCTGAGTGGCAGTAAGAAAAGCAAGTGGGCTTTGGAAAGTTAAGTAATCCCTGTGCAGTACAAGTTCAAGCCATCGGAGCTGAATATGGACTCTTGTCCTGGTTAATCTTAATCTAAATATTCAAAGTTATATGAGATTTCATGGTTTTGGGACACAGCCTTAGCTCTGTGGTTTCTGAGGGATGGTGGGAGTTTTTATCCYGTATATTTTTAAAAAGAGCATCCAGTTCTGGGGGATCTATTCCCAGCTAAAGCACACAAAGCTCTGGAAAGGTCAGAGAGAGGCATCTCTAGCTTTGGTAAATAAACAAATCTCTTCTCTGTGTCTGGGATGTTGTATTAATAGCACTAGATTTGGTTTCGCATTGTGGAGCTCCTCCTGTTTCACTGCTATTGAAGATAAGAGAACACAAAATGTTCTGTCACCCTCCACATGAGAAATCAAGCCAACAGGCAGAGACTATTATTTTTAAAGATATTACTGAGATACAGACTCGGAGAAAGGTCCTTTTTTTTTTTTTCTTCTTTTTTCAGTAACTACCAGATATCACAGCTAGCACATCAGAAAATCAGCATTATTTAATATCTTACATACAACAATTTATAGAGAAAAAATCAAAAGAAAAAAGTCAGTAGAAAATACCTCAAACTGGAAATAAAAGTGGAGTATTTAGCAAGTGGAAGTTGCATTCATTCTTTGGCATTTTTCTTATTAAGTTATTCAACTGCAGAAAACAAACAAACAAAACAAACAAACAAACAAACAAACCAGTTCTGCTTCTTAACCTTTTCAGCAGTCTGCTGCAACCCCCTTTATTTTGGTTTGCAACCTATGGTTAGTTATTCAGAGCTTCATTATAGGATACTAAGATTGGAAAAGTGTCTCCAAATTGTTCCTGAAAGTAAAAGACTTCTTGTGAAATTATAAAGCCTGTGTAAGCATACAAGGAAATTGAAGATTTATCCCTACCTAGCTCACAAATATGACCCATACTAACTGCCCTGCTGACTGTAGGAATTTATTATATTAACTAGCACATGTTAACAACATACCTCTTGTCCTCAAAGGCACTTTTCCTTCAGACTGGGCGTCAGTCCAGAGAGGAGATAGACTTCTTTTCCCAAAATAAGCAACTTCTGTTGGAGAGCAGATTGGTAGATGTAAGTAAAAACAAGCAGGAACCAAATGAGATACTTCTCTGAACAGTAGTTTCCTTTGCCTTTGAAATGTCCTCAATTATAGATTCACTCTTTTCCTTGATGCTCAGGTAGAGATGTTCAGAGGGGAGGTTTTCGTGCAGGCAATAGGCATTTTGTGAAAATACACCTCGACAAAGGATGCAAACACTAACTGAATGACTCAACAGCAAAAAAAACAGTCACATTCAGTGAGATCTCTCCCTCTAGGGATATTTTTACCACAGGAAAATAAAAATATTGGCAGAAGACAATGACACTTAAATCACTGAAATTGTTCTCTCCTCACTCTGAGTTTGACCAGTCTGGAATTTAGTTTTCAGATGTGGTACCTGAGCTGTCTCTAAGGTAGCAGTCCACCTTTTTATCTGTCATTGGAAAAAGTCTTGAGCGAGCTGAATGTGTTGCTTGTATTTAAATGTTTGTAAGTGACTATCATTTCCCATCTGCTCCATGCACTGCWTCTTGTAGAACCAAAGAAGATTAATCATTTCTTCCAGACCAGTAAATACTAAAGTACCTCTAACAAAACTCTTAACAATTTCTGGGCAAGGATAATGTTCTTATTTGACAGCTACAGATGACTCTTTAAGATCATTATAAACGTTCAGAGGAATTAGCAATCTTTGTAGTTAGGAGTAAGAAAAAAAATGGTAATCGTTCCATATTGTAGCTTCCTTACAGTTTAAGAACAACCCCAAATTTAATTCTGCCATGATGGGAATTCTGGCTGAGTTAAATGTGAGAAAAGATTTCAATTCTGAGAATGAAATTTCTTTTTACTGTGATTTTTGGTAGAACATATGCCATAGAAATAGGGGGAAAATGCAGTTAAGTGTGAGGGCATTTCAATCCTTCTGAAGGATCTTATGTATCTCATTTGTTGTGGYAGAATTTAGTCTGGAGGTTTTGGAAAGGACAGAGATTTTATTTGTACTTGTTGCCAATAAGGGTTTGATTTTCAATCATATTTAATAGTTTCCAGAGCTGTGTGGTGAATCAGATATTGTAAGTCAAAGTAAAAGTAAATTTTCTGCACTTAAATTTTTATTTAGTTCCATCACAAGGTACTACAATGAAAATATTTATATTTAATAGATAATGTTATGAAATTTCAAAGCCACACGTGACCCACTGCAGTTATGTACTGACCACTAGAAGAGAAGCACTAGAAATATAGCACACCAATTTGAAGTAGTCCAAGAATATAATGATTTTAAAAAACATTAGACATGAAAGATAAATACTCAGTACATGAGAATAATACAGAAATTCATTCTTTTATAAATGTCAGCATTGATCCAGTTATTTGCCTTTCTAAAAATGGATTTATGTAAGCAATGTCTTTACAGACTGACTTTTGCATGTAGTGATTTTGACATTTAAAACCCATTTGTATAGTCTTAAAGATATTTGAACAGCACCTGAATTTTCCTGCAAAGCATAATAAAATGCAGTGGATTCCCTTGTTCTATAAGCAGTAATATAATTGCTGTTCCTCATGGCATAATATGATTCACAATTATCTAGTAACACGAACAGATTAAGATACTTCCAAAAGATGGATATCTGACATGATTTATTTAGTATCTCTATGTCAGTTTTAAATTTCTCTTTACTTTCAAGAAAGAAAGTCTGTTCTCTGTTTTTCAGCTGGTGAATGAGGGCAGCTGAGGCCACTTGAATCTCAAGAGATCGATAGTGTTAGTAGCTGTTGATCTAATTACGGATTATTTGGGTCGGACTCTTTTCTCGTAGCTGGGTGTGACTTCATTGACTTAAAAGAGGTTAGTTCATTCAGTGCACAGGGGTTATAGCATGAGTGAATCATCCCCTAATAATTGTTATCCTAGTTATCTTCAGAATAGCCTAATATTTCCTATAGGCAGACATTCTGATTTTTAGGACATTTTTAGAATTACTTTAATGATATTACATGAGTGGCTGGGGTTATGTATTCTGTGAATCCACTTGTGTTAGGTATGTATTTTATAAATAAAGCTCACAGTGAAAATATTTACTCAGTAAAATACTGTTCGAGTGCTTCCTTTGCAACGTATCTCTATGAACTGTAAAGGTATATATGAAAGCCATGCTGTTATAATGCATGATCATAATGCATGATCACCTAGGCATTAATACATTACAGTGATCATATCCATGACACATGATGATGTAGCATTTATTACATATTTAAAACTTTCACTGCTTAAGAGATTGCAAAATATCTTGCCCACCTCAATTGCAAAATAGCCTATAACTTAGTCATTTGAATTTTTCTACACTTTTTTTCTTGCATAAGCAGATGATTTTATGATCTGCCTATTGCTGCATCATCAGCCCTACACAGAATACACACAGTGTGTTTGGTCACTAATGCAGCAATCACTAAAACTCATGTAGTCCTGCCCTAGAATGAGCAAGGCCCCATGTAAATGCTGGGATACACTAATCAGGTCAGTCTATTTTCTTTTCCATTGTTCCAAAATCCTGTTCACGAAACTGGAAAAGATTTGTCCAAGTCATTACACGAGGAAAGCGATTTAGGCCAATTTATACCACCATGCAAGTCGTTAGCAAAACAGATTCCCAGAACATTAAGTTCTAATTCAATAGATATATATGTTCTGTGRGGGGAGGGCAATGAGTCTGTAAAGGGAAACACCCTGGTCAGCTTYGGAATTTTGGAACTAATAATATTATTCTGTAATTTTCTATTTTATTTCTTGGAGAGGAGCATATAAAGCCTCTGATAAGCCTCATCAAAAGTTCTGAGTCTTAATTTCCTGACCTCCAACACCGATCACCTGGTAAGCCTTTGTTAAATGAAAAAGAGTTTCTGTCTTGCCCTTTAACTCTGTGCTCATTCATCATCCTATTAGGGGAAGAACTKCCGATGAAGGGGAGATTTCACCTTTGCTCGTGAGCTTTTTAATAAAAAAGTTATTATTTTTCTAATTTGTCTTCAGACTCTCTAGAGCAAATCAGCCAGGCACATCAAGGACAACAGAAATTGCAGACACAGGTGCTGTTCTACAAAATGTTTTCTCTGACAGTGAGGGCAGCTTAAGGTTGCATATAGCATCTCATAGAGATTGCTTAACGTATTGATGAAATATAGCAATATTTCTGCAGATACCATTAGCTTTAGAGAGTGCTGCATGCTTTTACTCTGATGTCTCCCCCATTCTTGTGCAGGCAGAGCCATGTGTGTGCCTACAACACTGGGCTGAAAACAGCACTTCAGAAAGGGTTTCTGGTGGGTAGTTCTTCAAAGCACTAAAAACACAGTCCCACAAGCAGTTCGCTGACAGAACACAGGGTGGTTGCAACTAGAGGAACATGAATGCAGGGACTGCGTTTTTATTGTCGGTGCAGCAATGTCTGTGAAACAGCAGTCCTACAGGAAAATTAAGTCTCCTAAATTGAAGATGTTTTCTGGTGGCTCTGCTTTGGACACACTGCCCAGGACTGCTGCTAGATGAGGTCTATTGGAGCAGTATTACATGTGTGTATGTGTGGTTTCTCTTTTGAAACAGAAAGAAAATTTTGGAAATTTTGTTTTACTATCCGTGCCTTCTAAAGATAGATTTTACTGAATGCATTAGTATAYTCCAAGTCAAACTTTCAGTTAAAATAAGAGTTTAATGATTAAAATGAAAAATCGTATCCAAGAAAGCTAAGATTTGCAGCTGTCACTACAATTTTACTGAAGAGATTTTGTTTCTGAACAGCTTCTGTCTGAAATTCCATACCTTTCATGAAGCACCCTGTATATTAAGCAGCTCCATCTAATCTTTTCTGGCTGTGCAGATGCACAGTGCTGGATTGATTTTCCTGGAAAACCACATCCTCGGGGAAGTCAGGAAGCAAGCATAGCATGTGCAGTAAGAGGGCAGGCTTAATTCATACTTACCGTGTACTTTATTTCTGGCCAATAATCAATCMCAACTTAATTAGTTGTGTTTAGGTATTCAGTATTTATGTATCAGTAAAGCAGCAGTGCCATGATCCCCCTCTGTTTKTTGAATGCACTTTTCTAAAAACTACATGTACCTATACAGACTGTTACAGAAAGATAAATTGTACCAGCACCGTGTATTTGCAAGTAAAGTTGGCTTTGACTCAGCAGCATCAGAAAAAAATTCCCTCGTGACAAAACTCCAGTATCCATATATAAATACTGTAAGTGCTACTGAGCCTGGTATGGAGGGTTTATCTGGTTCTAATGGAAGTGCACAGTACCAAGATGTATGCCTTGCAGGTAAGGAGAACATCAGCACACACAAAAGGAAAATTCAGTATTCTGGTGGTAAACTTGGTGCTTTTGCATCTGAGAGGATCCAATACCAATGCCATTTYAGGAACAGAGTGCTCTAGCAAATAGAAAAAGCAGCTTTGACCACAGTTGGCCTAGACAATAAACCAGAGGTACAAACTTCAGCCTCTTACCATGTTTTAAGTCAGTCAGTTTTTCTCTCTCTCTGTTCTGTCATTCATACTTCTTTACATTTTTAAAGACAGCACTGAATGATCTTCAAAATCTCTTCAGTTCCTGTAGATGTTTTAGAAAAGAAAAGAACGTTGCTGTTGTTTCTACTATGGATTATGTAATTAATGTGTTCCAAGTRCGACACAACACAGGTATTTGTAAAAGACTGTAAATGTGCAGAGGACAGGAATACACATAGAAAGCTGCCCCAAAACACTGTTGACTGCTTTGCAATGAAGGTCTTTGTTCACATGCACATGCACACACTGTTTCTATTTAGGACTGCTTCTCTGGATATTTATCTTTCTGGGATTATAAAAAATTCTCAAGTTAAGAGAAAATCCCATTTAGTTTTGTTGAYATGACTGACCCAGTGAAGGTTGCTGTGACTTTTTTATCCTTTTGATTCCTTTTATATATGTTTCAATTGAATGTAGAGGCTTTATGTTTGCCTGTATCGCATACATGTTTTTCTGAACTTGTCATGACCCTTGATTCACACATTTCAACAAATTACCATGTGGCAAATGTACAGATGTTTTATTTATAAACTACTTATTGTGGAGCAGCAGAGGTCAGATGAGGATACTCAAAGCCAGGACACTGGCTATTGCACTGCTAAACTACTTCCAGTTGCCTTAGAAATTTTTACCTTTTCACTGAAATTTGCAGTTGTTGAAAACTATATTTTTTAAAAATCAAAAAACAATATGAGCATTTACCTGTTTCATTTGGCTGACAAGTCAGGGCAGGGTGGAGGACAGGGCTCAAGGGGTTTCTGGGGGTGTTCAGGATCCTGGACACCCACTGAGGTCTCCGCACTGGCTTCGGGAAGCACAGGCATATGGACTTGATTCCTAGTTCTCCTCTTTTATTTTGTATGAGAGTTTGTTCACCTAGAAAACAATAAAGAAGTAATAAAGACAGGAGTAATTTGTTTACTTGACGGGGCTGCTAATAGATTTACTGAGGTATGATTGTAAATTATTAATTCTCTGATGAAAGTTGCTCAACCAGCAGTTTGTTTTAACCTGATCTGTGCAGGTGTGCAGTGTAGCCATGCTCACACACGCAGGGGTTCACAGGAACAATCAGCAGCTGATTCTCTTAAGCTATTGACAACTACTGTGCATGACAATGCCATAAAATCAGGAAAAGGGGTATTCTAGAATTAATACCTAGRCCATCAGTCACAGCAAATATTTAAGAGATATAAAAATATGTACTGACACAGAAACATAATCAAAATAATATAAACAATATGCTAGCACATATATATTTATATCTACATTTGCATATATGACTTATATTGAATTGATTCCACTGGCAAGTCTAACTTAGTTTTAGGATTGTTATTTCTTATAATTCAATCATTAAATGATACCAGACAAAATTATTGCTGAGCAAATAGTCTACAGAAGGAATGACCAGACCACTGTTACTTCTGTTTCTATTTACAGCCCTGCAACTGCATTACCATTGCAACAAACTAATTCCAGTTCATTACTGCAGTAAGCCTGTAACAGACCTGAACACAAATGAATTAAAATGCATTGATTAGATAAAAACCAAGGGCAAAATATTCCAAAATTCTTTAGTGACTGGCTGTAGTTGGCGTAGAGCAGCGCAGCTGGTAAACTGAGGTCAGCAGAAAACGATCACCCCACTCTGGGTGCATGGAGAAGCTGGCTCTCAACCCTGGCTTTTAAACTTGAAGCTCGACAAACAATATTTCTGCCGTGAYCCGGACAGGTGGCGGGCCCAGCAGAGAGCATTCGCCAGCATTACCACTCTCCTCATTTAGACTTTACATCAAGTCCGCGCGAGCGCTGGCTGCAAACCAGATTCTTGGGGTCTATAAGCAAAGAGAAAGGGTAACGCTTAGTTATTATAACTAGTTTTAGAGAAAGGAAGATATGGTGTAAAGGACTCCTGTTCATTTAGATTGCATGGGATTTTTTAAGGGAGATGTGCTCAACTAGAGGAGTATTTCTGGGTGTGTTTGAAAATAGATTGTTGATGGCTTAAAATAATGTTCTTGCCCTAAACAGGCTGGCATTGGTAACAAGGTACCTACTGCAGAAAAACAGTGCTRCAAGAGCTAAAATACTAAAACCATCTTGTTTGCAAGTATACAACACGCTTGAAGAGTCTAATTACTCTCTCAGACCAAATGAAGTCCTAAATTGGAAAAGCAGCTCCATCCAAGGTCGCCTCTGTTGTTTCCAAAAATATCTTGAAACAAACGCAAGAGGGGCACTTTGTTGGATGTTATCTAGACATATACAGTTTCAATCAAATTCTTCAAGAAGTGTCAGAATAAAAGTCGAACATTTGTCTGACATTGTCAAGTCGCTAGCAAGCGATCCCTTCAGAGCTTGAAAATAACTTTTATAACCGAATTACGAGATATAGAATGTGTTATTTATATGTAAAAAGAGACATTCGTTCGTTTGAGATGGAATTGTCAACACTTTTTAGACAGTTCATAAAAGGGCTGTACAATTCTTTCCGCTGCACGGGGTGGTGTTACAAGGTAGTGTTAATGATGCCGGGAAAATATTTATAGTGCTTTTTCCAGTGTGAGAGCTCTCTCCGTCCCTCATTTTTTTTTTATTATTAACCTATAGCTCATTCAATTAAATCAACAAGCAGAAAAGAGCTTTTAGTGTATACAGACTCTAAAATGATCTATTCCACATTGAAATCATTAAAGCATAGTGTAGTAAATAAAAAAATACCAAAGTCACAGTATGCACAATAGTGAGGAAGCGTTAGGAAGGATGCCACACTCCACTTCCATGTCAGGAGAATTCAGGTTGTTTTACAGTTACAAGTTGTGGGAGATGTTTACCTAAGGAGACTGAATTTTCACAGGACTATTTGTCATTGCCCAYGAAATAATAAATGCCCAATTTTCATCACTTTGCTGCCCACTGAACATTAGCTAGATCTCTAACAGTCTCCTGGCTCGCTCATGCAGATACCTGAACAGTCTAATCAGCCTACATAAAATGGAAATGAAGTAGAGAAACCCTTCAGGACAAAAGACGCAATGCGAATGTAAAATATTAGTGGAACAGGTTGTCTGTGGGTGACGTGCAGTGTTCTGATACAGTTCTGTTTTCTTTCTAATATGCTATAAAAACACAGCAAGCTTTAAAGCATGGGGTAAGGGAGGTTGATAAAATGTTTTATAAATAGTTTGAAACATTCTAAGTGTTGGACTTAGAAGACCGTGCTGGAGAAATGCTGAAGTTAATCAGTCCTTTTTCATTTTGATAATTCTTTGTTTATGACTCTGATATTTCTATGTTTAAAGAAACAAATGCCATTTCTGCAAAGAAATGTCTAAGCTCTATTTTTCTTKCTAGAAAATACTGCAATAATATAAACCAAGCAGGCTACTGCAATTTTCACATTTTATAACTCTAGGAAGTTTCTACTGCTATTTAAAAACAATCCAGTAAAAAAAAAAAAAGCATAAATACAAATAATTTTAATTGCATAAAGTCTTAATCCAGACTTTCAATTTTAAATAAATAGATGTCTAATAAAACTAAATCCATATTCCTAACTGCTTGTGTATTATGATTGCTTTTACCGAGAAAAACTTACAAAATATGTTTAGCTATAAAAGTTTCAAATAGAATGTCAATTCACATTGAATGAAAATTGTTATTTTAGCTATACTTATATTTCTTTTATTAAAAAATATGCTTGCTATAAATCTAATACTATGATTGCTGCTGTTCTGTCCAGAGAAGTAATACAGAGCTAAATCCAGCAGACCTTATTTTGGCAAAACTCCCRCTGAAGGCAGTGGGGGTTTTGGCCCGGGAGGGCTGCTTGGTTTGTCTCGCAGGTGACTTGGAAGACGTTTGTTCCCCCTCCTCGAGCCCTGGTGCTTCTCACCGAGTTCGGTCCTGCCATRGCCCGGTGCCTCCCAGCGTTTTCCTCTGGAAACTGGAATCATCCAAATCCGTGYAACGCAATTATGAAAAAGCCCCTTCTCACCCAGTGACCTTGGATAAAAATGGATTGCCTTGGGAGTTTGAAGACTGCTTCTGCAGAACTGATAGCAATAGAGAGAGAGACACGGCAAATTTTGAGAACCCATTTTAAATTCCTGTCAAGAATTTAAAGAACCCGTTAAACMAGCTGAAAAGAGGACAAATTCTGATCAAACAACAATGACCCTCCAAGGCAGGTGGTAGCATGTGATAAAACATAGATTCTCACAATCCTTCCTCACTGCAGCACTGAGCAGGCCATGGGAACATGTCCCGTCTCCGTCGCTGCCTGCACTGGAGAGAGGCAGCTGCAGAGTTAACAGCAGAACCCGCCGCTGCAGGCGACAGCACAGGGCACACACAGGGAATGGGCTCGTTATTTTTTCCACTTCTATCTGAGTGATTCCGGGGCTGAGGAGCAAAGGCAGATCTGCAGGCTCTGCTCCATGCACAGCAGAGACGTCGGGGTAAGTTCCCCAAACTCCGCTGTGCCCCTGTGTCACAACCTTCCTCCCAAGGTGACATCTTCTGGGTGGCAGCGCTCAGCACCCTCGGTCTTTTCAGCGACCCGGCCGCTTTCAGGTGCCAGCTGCCAAATGCTGCCATGTAGCGGTGACTTGGGAACGGGACCAACGCTGCCAAATCATTCCACAGAGATCCCAGGCTCAGAAAAGACAGCAGGTAGTTAGTAATAACCTTTCCATCACCACTGAACTGGCTCAGATGTGAAGTAGTGATGTAAGGAGGAAAAGCTCTGTACTCTCCCTCCATTCCCAAAAGCAGCCAGTCATTCACAGAACAATTTTTCCATCGCTTTCTGGGCACTCTGCTATCCCATCTCCTTACTCAGGACATCTTCGTTGTAAGGACATTTTTTAGATACGAAACTGTTGCTAAATACTTTTGCTGCCCTGGGTTTTATAACAACGTTCAGCATCAGAGCAACAGAAATGACTTAGCAAAAAATCTTTGGAAATCAGA